ATGAAGGTCCCCCTAACAAAGAATTTATTAACTGCATTTGTTATGGCTCATCATCGACTTTAAGCAGCACACCAGTATTTTCAGTAATGAAATATTATGAAAATATGAACTGGGACTGGATAAACTATATGTGTTCCTTACCTGGCACTGCAGGTGGGACTGTGCGCATTAAGGCCTGCACTGTGGCAAGTGCATTCTGCTCCACACTGTATTTGTTACTGCATGAATGTCCTGCCGTGACCATATTTGGCTTAAGAAGACAGCCCTCCAGATAGACTTGGTGGTCTGCCAAAGATTTGAAAGTGAAGGCGAGCGTCAATTCAGTTATGCGTTGGGCGGTGAACAAATCATGGTTTCCTTCTGGCAACACCTCTGCCTCAACAATCGGCACCATGCCATTCTGAAAGTGAATTGGGAGGGTAGCCGAACTAAGATTACCAAGGGTCAGCGAGAGCGTTATTTCTATTTATCTATCTAAGTGGTGTATTCAAAGTTGTATGCTAAAATAAGACAAAAAAATTCAAATGAAATAAGCTAGCGATAAAAATGTTGAATTAAAGGAAAAGAAGAGGGACTAAAATTGTAACCAAATATGCTAAAGAAATTAGGAATACTTTCTAAGCAGGATTTTTAGGTTGCCCAACCTTGGCTTGCACAACCATATTTTCAAGTTTATTTGATAAAAAGGAAGAAGATATGTATGAATTTGCACGTGCTACGCAAATCTAATTAAGGCTAGTTCTACTGCCAGACTAAATGAAAGGACTAGCGACTGTACTCCAAAAATGGCCCTGGTTCTACCAATTGGAGTAGATCTTACAACTGCCTTCTCATTCTGGTGGCAAAATTTCTCATGCTGCTACCAGCTAACCGAGACTTCATCTTAATCGTTATTGAAAGGCCCTGTGCTAGTGGTAGTAGGCAAAGGTTTCCGGACAAAAGGGGAAAACCTTAAGTTTTCTTATCAATATGAAGATACGCTTTTGCCAACTAGAAATGTATGCTGTGAGTAAGTTATCCAGTCTTGGAAATCAAGCAGGCCATATTATTCGTTGGCTCTATAACCATGCCAAAAATACAGTCCACTTGGGATTTCACATTTAACAGTAGCTTTTATTCAAAAATGAAGATTTAATAGATATTCCAACATTGAGGTTGTAAATCACTAAGTAATTTGTCTCTGAACCAGCTAGTTGGAAGAAATTCTTTAGTTGCCATTACCCGAAATTTGAAGGTTGCTGCATTTAGATTGTGTAAATAAGTCTACAGGGTAAAGTTCTGCTTTCGTCTATCTTGTCACATACATCGTTCGAACTTTCTTTATGAGAATTTCACCAAGCACTAAGACGAGCACGGGCAACCAATCGACCAGTGCTGACTTAGCCGGAAGTAAGAAACACCAACCGTTTTTACGACAAATTGCTACCAAAGCCAAGACTACTCTGCAGGGACGCTGTCAGACCTGATATTGTGGGAGTGGATAGAGCTAAAGTAGATGGTGGAACTTTTTCATAAAGCGTTTTGTTTGGCACAACAGGACAAAAGCAGGCTTCCTTGTACTACGAAGTAGACAATATGCAACTGCTGAGCTAGAATGAAAAGTGACGTATTCCTAATGCAAACTTATGGCATGAGGCTATCGTAAGAATACTGGGAGTATTCACCTCCTAAATAGGGTACAAATGCTGTCTCATGGTATTTTAGTTGTTACAAAAAGCATGTGCATATTCAATGTCTTATGATATTGCAAGGATTGAAGGTACTCGATGTAGTAAAGAGGAATAACTTTTTCATGGGATAGTGCAATTCACTAACAAAATCAGGCTTTCCCTTTAAATATGCGTGGGCAGTAGAACCATTCATAGCAGAAGCACAATACGAGAGTTCATATCTGAAGTTGCCTTTAGACTGAGAGAGCAATCGTAAGCGTCCTCTTCCAGCAAGCCGAATTAATGAGCTTAGATAGAGAGGAAGAAGCCAAACGAGATGAAAGTCATGGCAGCCTCATTTCTTAATGTGCAATTGCATCATAATGCAGCATGTCAGAGCAATACTGAAGCCTAAGAATTGAGCTAACTAGCCAATAGATGCCTGCCCTATTAAGTTAGCCTTACAGTAAAACTGAGTTTAAAAATGCCTATCTTACTTTGAACGCCACGCTAGGATCATGTCTTATCTCACCAGACCAAGACGAGGTACACACTACAGTATACCTTAGAAAAACATGCAATGTTCAAACAAACAGTAAAGTTAGATTCAATTGTGAGTAGAATGAAGATCCCGATAATAGACACCTAAAATTTTTATACGAACTCAACAATTGTATCTCTTGCCAATATTTACTCACAAAATATGTGGAATGAGGGAGGCAAGCGCTGTGTATGAAAAAGCTAACAAACTCTAACGAAAATTTCTACCAAAAGGATACTCCCATATTACTTCACACAAGCTTTTCATCATTAAATTTTGGCTCACCAGGCTGTCAAAAATAGGGGTGTGTTTATAAATATCCTAAGTCTTTATGTATTGATATGTTGATTACAAACCTGTTGACAGATTACTGCATATCTGGCCAAGACGTTGGAGTTTTCGATGAGGGCTTGATAACTTGGCGTATATTCGCTGATCCTCTGTGCACATTGCCATTTAGCGAAGTGGCAGCCATCCCTCTTGTATCGTGCACACCTTTCGCTCAGTCCGTCCAAGCCTTCTGTCGTATACTCACAATGGGTCCCTGCCAGAGGCACCTGTCCCTTGGACACCGTGATACCAGGGATAATTCCGCGATCCTGATGCCACATCCAGCAAGTGATGTAATAACAGTCATTGATAGTGAATAAGTATTTCATTGACATACGTATTTATGTTTAGTAGGCAAAAAAACAATGCAGCTAAATATAACACTAGAGGTATATGAAATGACGAAATACTTCTATTATTCGAAAGTATGAAGACCCTTCCGGAAGGTAACTTGATAAACGGGAGCAATTACAGAAAGGCGCGTAACAATAAGGGCATCGAAGGTATGAAGACCAAGATGGTGTGGCCTTTTGTGTGGTCGCAGTCTCCTTTCGTTGTATAGA